GCGCCCCCCCCCCCCGAGCAGGGAACCCCCCCCACCAAGCAGGGAACCCACCCCTCGAGCAGGGAACCCACCCCTCGAGCAGGGAACCCACCCCATGAGCAGGGAACCCACCCCCTGAGCAGGGCACCTGGAAAGGCAATCACCGCGTCCCCGAGGGCTGCCGGGGAAACGGGGCGCTGGGATGTTCCCCTTCCCACCTCCATCCCACCTCTTTCCAAAGGCAGGCAAAGAACGTGAGGGCAATCAAACCCAAAAAAATCACGAGTCAAACCCCAGAGTGGCCTTTTCCCCTGGAAAACCTCCAGGCTTGGCTGGAAGCAGGTGAGAGGGATGCTCGGCACAGCCCTTCCCAGCGACGGCGGCACTTCGCTTTCTCCTCTGTCACCCTCCAGCCTGGCCAGGGCTGGCAGGGGTGTCCCCAGCAGCCTGAAAGCCCTGGGAAGGGCCATGCCCCATGGCCAGGTGAGAGGAGGACACCCTGTGAACCGCACAGGGCTCAGGGAGGGAAATGGGCACAGCAAGGTGCTCCAGGCTGGGCGGGGAGGGTTCCCCACCCCTCCTGCCTTGGCTGCTTTTCAACCACAAAGGGACAAAAACCTGCGTGTCCCTCCTCACCAGAGCCACAGCATCAGCCAGCACCCCATCAGGTATGTGACACTGTCCCCTCCACAACACCCTCTGCAACACAAAGGGAGCCTTGCCCCATAGGCCTGCTCTGGTGGGGGAACACAGGAGGAGCCTCCTTGTACCTTCGTGGTTTATACACATGTTGGTTCACACGAACGACTTCCTTTCTAACCTGAAGAAGGAAAAGAAGGAAACTGGCTTGCAGATCTGCATGAAAAGCTCAGCACACATCATTTCCAGCATGGGGCATTTAACAGGGCTACAGAAAGTGCAGTGTTATCAAGCACTTCAATCTAACACCAACACACATCATGTACTGGAGGGTGAACTTGCCTTCCCAATTCGACTGGATTTGGGAATGGTAACAAGGCCTGTAATGCAGTTTTAATAAGTGCACCTGTAATTACAAGAGTGCCTACCAGCAGGGAGGGAGGAAAGAGAAGATTTTCAAGAGCAGAGGAATAAATTGTATATGCTTCTATATTTGACTGCTCAAATCCAACCCATGACAGTGTTTCTCCTTCCAGCAGTTTCAAGGCATTGAATTTGCCACATGCATCTAAAAATATTATCCACATATATAAAAATACAGACAAATTCAGTATAAATACTAATAGTAAGGTGAACTTGACTTTTCTCCACGTAAGAAACTTATGTTGGTGCAACATAAAACCTGTTCATTAAAACATGAAGGTTTGATGAAGTTTTTGGACACATATAATAAAGCCAACGCAGATCTCTGCAGGAAGAAAGCAAAAGTATTCAAACTGATAGCACAAGCAGCAATCTCTGGCTGATATTCCTGGCAGAACTGCCAATCTCAGGGAAGAATCTTTAGGCAACTGAAACACTGGAATCGCTATTTCAGCTTCAGTCATGTTAATTTCTGCTGGCAAGAGATGTGGTTTAAAAATAAAAAACAACACACCACAAGGCTTTAAATAAAACCAGCATCACTGGATCCTCTTTCAAACCTACAGAGCCAAACAAGTGGCTGTAAGAATGTGCTGTTTTGTATATCCAACACAACTTCCAAACCGTGGCCTGACTCTTGATAGGGGACCACTGTAAAACAAGAATGACTTCAGTTAAAAAACAGCAACTCAGAGACAGCAGGTACCTAACACCATGCCCAAGCAAAGGAGGATTAGACAAGAACTAACTTCATTTCATGGAAGCTCAAGCACCCCATTGCTGAGCTTTTATTTAAAAATCTTTTAAGTCTTAACAGAAAGCCCTGTTTGTGCAAAATAAGCTCAGAATTTGGCTCCCAGAGCCTTGCCCTGCCACTTGACTGCAGTTGTTTAAGTTAAGTGTCTAAAATAGAAAGTTAGCCCTATACAACCCCATTACAGCCAGCCAGGAGAGACAAAGAGGACACTTGGTGCGAGGCAGAAAGGAACAAGTGACTTCCCAGGGCACTAAGTACCTGACTCTGAATCCCCCTTCTGAGGCAGCAGTTGCTGGTTTTTGAGCAGTGCAGAGGAACACTCTGGCTTTCAAATACCTCTTTGCTTTCTGGTGGGACGCTTACTACACACAGTTCTGTGGCTCCCTAAGTGAAAAAAACATCCCTAGCTCAAACTGGACATGAGATTTTTTAACTGCCAGGGCACTGTGACTGCACAAACCAAACCAAACCAGTACATGTAAGGAGTTACTCCTCATTAGTAAATACCAGCTGGCAAACTCTCAGACCTGACTTCTGAGATAACAATGCTCTTGCACTTCTCCATTACTTATTTCCCATTTCTTCATGGAAGAAACTAGCAAGTTTAGCATTGTTCAGAGAACAAAACCTTGACTGTGTCCCAGAGAGTTTAGAGTTTAACTCCATAGGTTGCAGAAGAGCTGTGCTGATTCCCAAGAGAAGAGGTCCCCTGAAGCTGTAGAGAAAACTGTACTGGTTCCAGGTGTAACGTGTTCCTACCCTGGCAGAGACCTGGTGCTTCCATGAGAAATACCACAGAGGCAGAGGCACCCACAGGCTCAGCCTCAAAACAACAGTTCTGCCCAGTAAAACCTTTTTAACTGCAAGCAGCAGTGAGTGCCACTGAAACCACCCCTTCCTCCTATGGATGCAGCATTTCCACCCAGGAGGAACACTCTGCTTTTTGGCTTTGGTAAAAGAATCGGAAATTCAATGGGTTGTTCAGAGAATGGGTCAGATTCCAGCTGCTTCTACAACCCTATAATAAAGTGTTTGCATGTAGCATTTCTGGGACAGGACGGGAAGTGGAAAGAAGTAATTGACAAGTGGAATGGGAGAGCAGTGTAAGAGGAAAAGGACATGCTGTGACAAACATCCCAGCTGCCCAGCTACACTCAACGCCCAGGTTGTGCAGGATTGTGCAGGGACTTGTGTTGTGAAGGGATTGTGCAGCCAGGACTGCCAAACACAGCTACACTGCACTCCTGCCCTACCCCATCTCACTAGCAGGGAGAGGAAAAAGGACCCAGAATCAGTTGAAACACATCAAGAACAAGACACTGACTTTGATTTCATCTTTCTCAAAATTCTCCCTTAAGGAGTGATAGTGCAGTGACTCGTTACCTGCCTTTTAGGTGGGGATACTAACACATGCCCTTGCTTTTCAGTGACTGTTCTCACAGTGGATGAGATATGTGCAATATGCCTGTCCCCATGAAACCCAGCAAGATTGTTTAACACTCATATTGGTATGAGCAGAGCTCAAGCTTGTAATTCCATCCTGCTTCCTCATGCATGCTAAAATTACTCCATAATTCTACTAATAACAAATATCAGACTTACCAAGCAGCACTTCAGCAATGCACTGCATAAAACCAGAGCTTACCCTGAACTGAAAGCACAATCCTTCTTCCTGGGACGGTTTAATCTTCCTGACCCCTCTTTTCTGTAAGCTTTCTGCTGTGGCTGACTGACAAGAAACCAGCTAATCTCAGCTGTCGTGGTCATTTTTTCTGGTATAACTGCCCCAGAACTGGAAACTCTCCCAGTATTACTGACTTGAGGCAGCATTACTATTTGTTAGGACAATTTACACCCGAGTGTGCTACAGATGGAAGCTCAGTGATGCTGCAATGAAAGGTCCCACTCTAGTGCAACACCCTCAGCTCTCCCCACTCTGTGTAAGCTCCTGGCTACAAGTTTGTGTTGTGCCTCTCAGTTCACACGGCCAGTAGATGGCAAATATGCAAGGAAGTACCAGTTTTCAGTGCAAGTCAATGCATTCTTGGAAGTGCAGGAAGATTTTTTTCCAAAGGTCCTCTGAGCTCTTACAGCAGAAGTGCAGAGTATGTGTCGAAATGAGGGCCAGTGGACTTGGTGCTGCTGGAATTCTAACAGAGGACCACCACAAGCACTCACTATTATGAATCATGCATATTTGTGGAGATGAAGACATCTAACTTTAGGTTGCCTGTCTTCTAGCTGGGTGTCCATTATGTCCTTCTCATTAATGCAGGGAAAAGAATCTCAAGAGCTGTCCACCTCCCTCGTCAGTAGGCTTTTAGTCAGCCAGTTTGCTGTCCATGCAACTGCAAAGACAATCTTGGAGTTCTACCATTGTGACTTTCAACTTCCAAGGTTGGAAAAATACTCCTGAGTTAGATTGTGAGCCCTCAAGATCACTCTGTAGCCACCTTCTTCAGGGGCAGCCAGGTGGATACATGGAAAAGCAGCTCTCCAGGCTAGTGCCCACTTTTGAAAATATACATCTTGGCACACAAGCAGCAATCTCTGCATCTGAAAGCAGTAGCTGAATTTGCTGATTGTGGGGAGAAAAAATCTTCTTTCCTCAATTGATGAATATTCATCATCATTGGTCTGCACACTTAATGGCCTTTGATGAGCTGGCAGAAGAAACCCTGCTATCCTGTCAGCTGTGGTTTGTTTTATTTCTATCAACATTTACTGCTAAGATAGGGACGTATTAAAACATTGAGAGGTAGGCAAGGGGGCCTGGCAAAGTGAGAAAATGCTTTCATTTTCAATGAAATATTTTGGTTGAAATAAATTGTGGTTGGTTAGTTTGGATTCTGACTACGTCCCCAAATGAAATTCTCCACGGGCATCTTTTCAGCTCAGTTTCTTTAACATTTTGAGAACAGCAATGAGAGCGATGGAAAGAACCTGTGGTTTGGTTTCCAGTAGATATTTTGACATTGGCTCTACTTGCAGGATGGAAACGTAGTTCTGCAGTTTTTCTTAATATACTTTGTGGCCTGAGTCTTGCTCCAAGTGAAGCAGATGGGTGCTCTAGCCTGGTTGCACCAACTGGCCAAGTTTCATAGGGGAAATATACTTAAAAACACAACAAAGTCAGCACTTACTGACACATTTTACTACTGCTGCTTCATTCTCTGACACAATTAATATTAATTACATTAATTTTAATTGAGGCAGCAATTTCAAGTGCTTCCAGTTTCATTCTTGGTTAAACATCTATCTTTCAAGAAAGCAAATGGTGAGCTCCTTGGAAGAGACTTCACTAGCAGTGTTTTGGAAAGAAGGAAGAAACAGGATGGCCATGGGACTGCTCTGACATTGGAATCTTTTCTACCCAAATGGCCAAAGGAAAAGGTCAGATCTGAAGCTCTTCCCAGACTAACGGGAAGTCCAGACTCAGTTTCACCCAATATGACCTCAGTCTACACAACAGATCACTGAGCAGCAAGAACGAAGCACCGTCACCTATCGATGCCAAGCAGCTCCCTACCAGCTGAACTGCACCCCTGTATGGGAAAGACAAGGGACAGTGGAGGCACAGGAGGAAACAAGTCCCCTCCACTGGATCTGTCAGAGTTACCTGGTCAAGAAAAGGTGTGCCAACAGCTGAATACCAAGCAGTCTCACTTCATCCTCTGGGGAAATCATGGCACGTGTCTTCTCCGGGCACGTTTCTGGGCACGTGAGGCAAAATGATTGGGAACAGTCAGCATGGAATTGCCAAGGGCAAATAATGTCTGACCCACCTAAATGCTTTTTGTGATAAACTGACTGGCCTTGCAGATGAGGGAGACCTAAGGATGACACTCACCTCAACTTTAGCCAGGGTTTTGCCACCATCTCTGACAAAATCCCTGTATCAAGGTTCACACATATTACCATCTGTATGGCTGAAAAAAAAAATATTTAAATGACTAGGCTCAGGGGGTCA